AGCCATATAAGAGTTGGAAAACCTTAAAACCACTCAACTGAGTTGGAAGAACATCAGCAAATTCACAGTGGCCTTAGGATTCAGCCAGATTCAAACCTGCTCCAGAGCTAAACACCTCTTCCTCCCAGAAAACCCGCTGTACACAAATCTCTAACAGTGCGTACTGTACATCACCAACACTTATGCTAAAACAGTAGTTTACAAGGAAGCAACTGAGTTTCAAATTCCTGTCCCTGTTCTGCACCCGCAAAAGGAAAATGCAGACCTCAGTGATTCCCACAGGGAGTCGAGGGCCTTCAGTCCAGAAGCGCCGAGTCCCAGCCGAGTGCGGGGGACACACGCCAACTCCCGCCCACTGTTAGTGCAAAGAGCTCCCGGCGTTGTTCTAGATGAGTGCTGGGAACTGGTGAAGAGGAGACGGAGGGCTGTGGGAATCCAAATGGTTTTCCTTCTGAAACAAGATCCAAGAAGTCTGGAGTGCAAGGTGAGCAATCAGCGGGCTGTCGATCCAAAGGGCGAGGTCCCTGAATCGTCACTGGGTCGTCGCAGTCTGCAGGCGCAGACTCAGCACCCGCGCAAGCCCCTAAGTGCACGCTGGAGGTAGGTGTATAGTAGTTATCCTGGGAAGACAGTGGCTCTCCCCCAACTCGAGCAAAGGGGACATCGTCTCTGCTCCTGACCCGCCCCAAACGCCATTCCACTCTGGCGAGCGGAAGACACGAGAGCAAAGGGCCGGAGGCCTCCCTTGGAAGACTTAAGAACCCAGGGCATTTTTATAAATAGCTACATAATTAATTTTTAACCACTTTGAAACACATAGCAAGTTGAATATTTATTTAAAAATAAATCTCAAAAATATCTATTTACAGTACAGTAAGAGGGGCATGTGCAAACAACAGAAAGGGGAAGGTCAGTCCACATCAGCGTGCCGGCGTGACGTTCACACACCACGGGCTGACAGAGCTGTGGCAGCAACACCACGACGTTCAGCTAACACTGGACTCGCTTCACCCCTGACGCCTGGAAAGGCAGGGAGCGGGGGAGTCTGGCTGGGGATCCTTGCGTTTGGGAACAGGATGGCCAAAGGGTGAGCCGTCAGGAGAGGCCCAGTGTGGCAGGAGGGCTCATTTCACAAGCCAACAGGCCTCTAGCTCGCCGCTGCAGGTGGGCATCTGGAGGTGACCAAGGGCCTTCCCCATCCAGGTTGGCTTCACAGTGGGAGGGGTGGGCACGGCACGAATCCCAGAGACACAAATCCTCCTTAGAGGGAACAACAAACCAAACCAAAAACCAACTGAACAGGGAATGGAGAGATTAGCAAAGCTGATTCTGAACAGAAGCGCCGCCCTCTCCTTGTCAGATGACAGAGCAGCCATCAGTTGAAATGTGAGTTGCTAAGTGAACTCCCACGTGGGTGCAGCCAGCTGGATCCCTGCCACCTACATGGTCAAGTTCAGGCCCCTGCTTCCGCCGGATGCATTAACACTTCTTCACCAAGGAACCGGGAGGTCAGTGGTGTAGCCCTTGTAGCGGGAAGGTGCCAGACGGGAGTCTATCTGTACACGAGGTGGGAGAACTGGGTGGACTTGTAGTTCAGCTGGTTGTTGGGCATGAACTTGTGCAGCTCGCTTTTCTTGCAGCAGGGGTCGTAATGGTAAGCGCTGAGGCAGGCGTCGCAGGAAACTTTTGAACACTGGGTGCAGGTGTTGGCGGCGCCTGTGCGGTTGCAGAAGCCACAGCGGGAGGTGGCTGCAGGGGAGGGCTTGGACTTGGAGTGGAGGGGCGGCAGCCGGTCAAGGGCCTGCGCCTGGCCCGTGTGCTTCTCCCGCAGTGGGGCCCCGTGGACCACGCTGTCGAGGGCAGCAGCCTTGATGGGGAAGTTGCTGGACTTGGGGGCTGAGGGACAGGCGAGCAGGCTGTCACAGCGCTGGCAGAGGGGAGCGCTGCAGGCCAGGCCACAGTTTGGGCACTTGGAGAGGGCAGACTCTTTGGCGGGGGGCGGACGCTTATGGTAGAGGGGGTGGGCGTCGCTTCTGACCAGCCACACATCTGGCCGCAGAGCGTCCTGCCTGCGGTACGCGGCCCTGGCGTCCGAGTCGGTGTACAGGTCCACGTCATCCTGAGCAGAGAAGTACGTGCTACGCAGCAGGCCGGGGCCATTGTTTGGCGAGGTGGGAGGAAGGTTGTCTGGGCTGCCGTGGGGGGAGCTGGACATGGTCAGGAGAGAGGGGGACGGGCGGATGATCTCGTCCTTCAGGTCATCGCCCAAGTCTGCGGCCACAGGCTCCTTCCGGAGGCTCAGGGAAGCCTTCAAGGGGGGCTTCCTGCTCTCCCAGTAGCTGTCGTACGCATCCACTGACCTGGAGGGCTTGGTCACACGGGGCTTGTAGTAGTCCTTGGCCGCCCGCTCACTGGCTGACTTCTGGAGCGCCACTCGGCCCATGGTCGTGGTCAGGTGCTCCCGGCCCTCAGCCCGCCGCCGCAGGGCATCGGAGCACCCGCGCACGTCCTCTGCGCTGCTCTTGCGCTCGCTCACGACATCCAGCTCGGAGTAGCCCTTGTCCTTCACCTGTGAGTAGATCTCCAGCATCTGCTCACACTCTACCTTGGCCAAAAAGAGCTCAAAGGAGACCATCTTCACCTGGAGGCTCTCGACGAGCTCCTTGAGCTTGTACACGGTGCCCAGCTCAGGCGCGTAGCCCATGTAGCTCAGGATGGCGCGGATGTCCTCCTCCAGGAGTGTCGACTTGACATAGTAAACGAAAGGGCCAGTGTAGGTCTGGGGAAGGAAGGGCAGAGAGGTGGGTCTGTCTCCCGGAGACACGCCACAGACACTGCGCCAACGTGAAGCCACTCAGTGGGCCCAAGAGGGAAGGAGAGGGCAGTGGAGGGGCTCACAGCTTCTCCTGTAGGGGCAGAGGCTCCCACACAGGAAGCACTGGGCACTCTGAGGAGGTTATACTGCAGCCCCTCTCTGAGGCCAAGGGGACGAAACCACTCGTTTTCTGTGTGGGCACAAAAGTCCACTCCACAAGCAGAGAAGCCCAGGGCAAACGCGGCTGAAGAACGGGGATCGGATGGCGGGCAGACTCCCCATCAGCACTCAGACTATTTATTCCTCGCTGCCCGTCCGTGAAGATCTGAAGAACATGCCAGACTTGCAGCCTGACTGGGCCCCAACGCCCTGTGCCCTTCCTGCCGGGAAGGCTGCAGATCCCCTCTCTGACTCCCCAGCCCGCCACGCCCCTGGGGACCACGTCCGCTTGCTGTGGCAGCAGGAGAGGGAGGCGGTCAGAGGGACAGAACCCCTCTTAGGATGGACTGGAATGGACAGGAGGAGAGGGAACACCAGTGTGGCCAGCCACGTCAGGGACTCACCTTGATGCTTCGGAATTCCTTCTTCCACGGGTACAGGAAGAGGTTGATGCCCACCGTCTCCAGCACGCTGAAGGCGCAGTGCAGAGCCCGCAGGCTGGAGGAGCGCAGCGAGCGCAGGGAGCTCTCCACCACCTCATAGAACTGGATCAACCGGAATCGATAAAAGGGATCCACCTTGTGCAAGCTGAGCAGGGTGGAGGCCGCCACCCGGAGGTACTCATCACTGCCAGGCCGCTGCTTGCTGGGGGTGGTGTCCACTTTGCCCTCATGGAACTGCACGTACTTCCGAAATAAGTCATCCTTGTACTTTGTATCCATTGAACTGGGCTTCCCCATCTGACCCAGGAGGCTACCTTATCTCCTCCATGGCTTCCAGGCTGCGGGCAGGGACATCTCTGAAAGCCCTGACATGCCGCCTGCTGCACCAGCAGAGCGCTCTGCAAGGGGAGAAACAAGCAGCACGTCATTCCTCCAACCATCCACACGCCAGCTTCTGACCTGAGCCCAACAAAACCCGGAAGTGGCGTGGGCTCCGTGGGGCCCCATCTGCGCTCATTCACTCAGCACACGTGCAGAACACGCCCTGGATGTGACGTGAGGGTGAGACGGAGCCCAGTGAGGAGGCCGCGGCCGAGAGCTCAGGGGACACAGAGAGGACGTCCAGGAGATGCTCCCACGGGGCCCAGGCGAGCGCTCCGGGCAAGAGCAGGGACGGGGAGCTCAGGTGGGCTCCAGAGCGCCTCCAGCTGTACCGGCTCATAGACTCTGCGGCCCTCGGAGCCGGGAGCCACTGCTGGGCTGGGAAAATCCGAGACACAGAAGCACAGGACTCTCAGAGGCAGAGCTGGACCGGCACCCAAGCCGTGTGGCCCCACAGTCCACGCCTTTCCCCGCCACACCCTGCTCTTCTGAGGCCGGAGGGAGCTTGGCACAAGGACAGAAAGGAGGTGGCTGAGGCGGCGGCAGAGGCCAAGGCCGGGACAACAGAGGGAGCGGCAAGAGCTGCATCCGGCCTGACCTGAGGCCTCCAGGAGCACGTGGAGGATGACATGTTTCTGTAGGAGCTGGGGCTGTAGCCCAGGGACTGAGTACCTGCTTTGCTTTGCGCGTGTGAGGCCCTACATTAGACCCTCAGCACAAAAGGAAAAAAAAGAATTTCATGTTTTACTTATTCAGAGCCATGTGAAGCCACTGAAGAGTTTAAAGCAAAGGACACAATCATATTTAGTTTTGAAGAGCGCCTGCTCCCACTGCTGAACCTCAGTGGTGCTCTGCTGCCTGCATTCCCTCCACCCTGAGAGCATTTTACAGTCCTGTCAGGACAGGAGAGCCTGCTCTGAGCCGAGACACGGGGTTTATGCCATCTTGCTCTCTCCCCAGCCACCCGTTAGTAGGACCTGCACAGACCTAGCAGTGCTCCTGTTGCCACAACACTGGGGGCAAATCTGGAGCCCAAGCAGGGCTGGTGGCACATGCCTGTAGTCCTAGCACTCCAGAGGCTGAGGCAGGAGGATCGCTGTGAGGTCAAGGCAAGCCTGGACTACACAGCGAGACCCTGTCTCAAACAACCAAAAAAAAAAAAAAAAAAGAAGACAAGGTCCGGGGACAGAGTGCCTGGCTGTGAACCCTAGAGCTGCTCCTCCAGGTCTCTCGTGCTAACGACTCAGCCTCTCAGGGTGTTTTCTCATCTGATTCCAAAGCCAGTGTGAGTGGCTGCACAACTGGTATGGAGGCGCTGCACCTCCAAGCAAGCCCTTGACAGCCACGCCTGCTCTGACGGTGCTCTACCTTCAAGACTCCAAGCTTGCTCTAGGAACGATCAGAGCAGGGCAGTTGGTGGCTGTGTTCACAGCCTCCAGCCTTGCCTTTCCTGACCAGAAGCTCCCTCCTACCACGAACATCGGGTTCTGCACAGTGGCTGGGGTAGAGTATGTGCTCCCAAAGTATCTCTGAGCGACCGACCATGGGAGATGACAAGGGACTGGGACAGAAGCTGCTGCTCGGTGGAGCTGGCCTTTGGAGTCCTCTAGATGTGGCTCGGTGGGGGAGTCCTACAGGGATAGGGACTGGTAACCATCAGAGGTCAAGAAAATCATCCTTGCCAGGAATGTTGGCACGCGCCTATAATCCCAGCATTTGGGAGGCTGAGGCAGGAGGACTGCCCAGAGTTCGAGACCAGCCCGGGCTACACGGCAAGGCTCTGTTGCAAAAAAACAAGAAGGGCGAGGGGCGCAGAGACAGACAGACAGACAGAGACAGCATGAGCTCAGAGATAGAGCCCTTGCCTGGGATGCACAAGGCCCTTGGTTTGATCCCCAGTACAAAACCAAAAAACCTAGGTACATAAAAAGACTATCTTCTCCCACTTACAACCCTGCCAAAGTACCAGATAACCCTGAGGAGAAAGGAGCAAACATTAGGTCACTCAGGATGAAACTCTGCCTCCTGAGCACAGCACACCTCTCACAGCAGGTTTCCCCTACACGGATCCTGGTTCCTCCAATACATCAACCTTATTTGATCTCAGGCCTTTGCACAGGGCTGCATTTTTTTTTCCTGATTCTTCCCATAGTTAGCTCACCTCATCATTAAGACCTCAGTTGAAATGCACTGCTCAGAGGCCCTCCCTGATCCTTCAACCTTTGTGTGTGTGGGGGCACTACTGGGGATGAACCTAGGGCGTCTTCTAGGCAAATGCTGTACCACTGACCTACATCTCCCAGCCCTTTTTGTTCTGAGACAAGGTCTCACTGTGTTGTAAGACCTACCCTCTAAGTAACCAGAATTACAGGCATATGCCACCAGGTCGTTTGACCCTTCATCTCAAATAACTCCCTCCAGTCATGCTGTCCAGGAATAGCCAGAACCTGAAGTTACCAACTTCATGTGTCATTTACTAGCTTCCTCTCTTCACCGACACGCCCGATAACCAGTAAATCCCAAGGGCAAGGACGTTTACCATGATTCACCACGATGCCTAACACAGACCCTGACACACATTAAGGGTTTGATAAAAGAAGTAAAACAAGTGATGCAAACTATGTGAGCATATACTATGCTATTCTTTCATTTTCTCATGAGTTCCCTGTGATGAATCCTGGATGACTGGCTGGAGAGAGGAGAAATGGGTTCCATAAGATGCCATGATACCCTACAAGCAAGCAGCTCAAGGTCAGCAGAAGGTGGATCCCTGACTCTAAGCCTGGCCTTCTGATCTGACACTTGTGCAATATTCCTCCAACGGCCCTATGATTTCCAAGTCCATGGAGTATCACTGCCTGCCCGGAGGAGTGGGTAGGGAAGAGGCCTGCAGTGAAGAAGACAGAGCCTGCCTTCCCTTAGCTAGAGAGCTCAGCACCCAGTATCAAAGATACATTCTTGTCAAACATAACAACGGTGCATTCCAAAAGATGCCAGCTGCTGTTCTTGTTGATAACTCTATGCATCTGGTATGTTTTATTTATGTAAGAGAAGCTTCCATCCTGCCTCTGGTCACAGGGCTACTTTCTGGTGTGCCTGAGAGTGTTTAAAAACAACATCAAGGGGCTGGGGGAATAGCTCCATGGTAAAGCACCTACCCAGCAAACACGAGACTGAATTCCTAGCGCTGAAGAAAAAAAAACACATCAAAAACTGCTGTGATTTTTTTTTTTTTTTTTTTTTTTGGTACCAGGGATTGAACTCAGGTCCTTGCGCTTGCAAGGCAGGCTACTGAACGGGCTGAACTAAACCCCCGGCTTGCTGTGATTTTTTTTATCAAAGCAAGAAACCACGAGCTCAGAGAGGCTGATTTTTTTTTTCTTTTGCAGTGCTGGGTATTGAACCCATGGCCTTGTGCATGGCAGGTAAGCATTCTACCACTCAGCTATATTCCCAGCCCATTCAAGAGGCTGATTTTTTTGAGACAGGGTCTCACTAAGTTGTTCAGGCTGACCTTGAACTCACTATGTAGACCAGACTGGCCTCAAACGTGCAGTGACCTCCTGCCTTAGCCTCTCAAATGCTGGACTACAGGTGTGTGCCACCACGCCCAGCTAGGGATGGAATTCGAACTCAATCTGGTAGAGCCTGAGAACTGGCTCTCCCCCACTCCCTTCCTCATTGTTACATTTATTGTTTATTGTTACGTTTGTTATTCGTACCACTTCCAAAGGGATCCAGTACTTGAAGACCCTGTGCAGAACTGTTTTTCAAAAACCAATGAAATCCACACAACAACTCCAACATTAAAGAAGAAAGTGAGGCTCAGGGGGCCAATTCATTTGCAGTAAGCCCCAAGGGTAGGAAGACGTGGATCTGGAATTTGAAGCTAAGTCAAGCACCAGAAGTCTGACTCTGCAGCAATGTGTCTAGCAAAGCTGCATCTGATGGACAGCTCTAGTTGGAAAGGCTCAACTCAGAATGACCTAGGGCAAGCATGGCAGAAATCCGTTCTAAATATTCCTCTAGTAGCAAAACTCCAGCTTCCCACACAGAATGGAACTGGGAGAACCACAAATCTATGATGTAAGCTCAAGGGCCAAGGAATGAGGCCGGCCAGTGGCAAAGCAGTTACATCATCTTTGCTGAATATATTTTCGGAGAATACAGCCCGCCTTGTGGCTGGTCATAGCTGGTGACTTTTATGAGCACAGAGCCAGCAATTTATTCCCAGCACACTGCAAGAACAACAAGAAATATGCTCTCTGCAAAAACAGCCTGGTTTCATGAGGCTTAGACAGCCCAGCGACAGAAGCTGTTAATTTCTCCAAGCAACCCAAAGACTGGAATGCCAAGCCGTGCCAGGCTGGCGGAGGGGGGGGAGAAGACACAGATCTGTGAATATCCTGAACAGAGACAGGCAGCCCTGGTCCGCACCTCCTGCACCCACAATCTGGGCCCTTTGTAAAGCAAGTCCATGGAGAGCCTGAGATACTGCACAAATCAAGGAGGCAGTGGCTTTTCTAATGACTGTCTTTTAAAACATCTAAAGGGAAACCTTGTAACGGCTTAAATTTCCGCTAAAGGGAACTGGAAAGATTCCGGATGGCAAAGCACTGGCTTGGCTTTACCTCAGCTCGCCCATTCAGGCAGAAACACTCTCCAGCAGCATCAGAAGGCGCCCCCTCCCTGCACAGGCAGGAGCTATTTTGGTTCCAGCACTGCCTCAAATCCACAGGTTTACACATCCCCGGTCTAGCTTCAGCCCCAAACAGGGGCAGGGGAACCCCCCCACTTCACCTCTGCGCACCCACTCCAAGCAGGAGGCTCCACACTCGCTTTCAAGAAAGCCACTGGCTATGAAACCCTGGACGGTCCCACACCCACCTCCAGAGACATTCGGAGACCTCCCAAAACCTCTGAAAATAACCTGAGCGGTGCAGAAAGTGCACTTCCCTCCAGGCAGCTGCTCCTGAGGGACTGGGAAGGAAACTGTGTCCCAGTAGTGGACAGAAGC